CCTGTAAACGCCTTATTGGAATAATTAGGATATAAAAATTCTGATTGTATTTATACCATTACAACCGAAAGTTATCACAAGAAAATACTGATGAAACAAATATATTTTACAAATATGTAATTTGAATTTATGGCATAAAATTTTAGTGAAACAAAGTACTAATATTAAACGTGATGAAATTAATATAATGAATATTATCAATGATAACACTTTTAATCTGCATAATGGCCTTTTAAATAATGACAATAGGTATATGAAAGTTACTCTAAAGTCTAAGCTAATAGGAGTTGCCAAGTAGCTAATATCGGCCGACTATTGTGAGTTTTAAACCTACATATGGCATATAAGACTCAGGGGAATTTTAAAAGATATTTTTTATTAAAAAAAAGTGCGCCTCAGATGCTTTCAAATACGGTAATTTCTTTTTCTTTTTATCATTTTTTAAATAAAGTATCCTATATTTTCAATAGATCTCCAATGAAAGGTGAACTGGCCATATTTTCTGATATATATATATATATATATATATATATATATATATATATAGATAGATAGATAGATAAACCTAGGTAGGTTTGTCTGGCTCACTAGGTGTATCTAGGTCTGCTCTACGGTTGTATTGAGCTCTTTTGTTAGTTAGTTGTTTACTCGTGTCGGTTTTTTTTTTTTTTGAGCTTCAAACATATATCAGTACGATTTTTTCGACAGACTTTCATGTTTCTAGCTGTTTTTTTTTAAAGCCTTTTTTTTTCTCGAGATTGATTTGATTATTGGCAAATCAAAAATTCGAAGGTTTTTCGAAACGAGTACAGTTACCTATATTCATATATATATATATATATATATATATATATATATATATATATATATATATATATATATATATAAAAAGTGAACATAGAAGTCAATACTTAGAGGCGACAGTCTGTTTCATGCTAAATGCAATCGTCAGGCCACATATATATGTTTACATATGTTTATATATATATATATATATATATATATATATCTTTTTCCCCGTTTTTTGTTTTGGATTTCCTTTTTTTCGTCTTCTTATAAAGAGTAATGTGATGCGAATTTAATCTCGTCATATTTCATTAATCAGAGCAGCTCATCGTCAATTCTAAGGAATCACTTTCTTGTCATTATAACCAATTTTAAACATTGCAGAATGCATCTAGGGATTTAATAAGCATATATAAGATATGACACGAGGCTAAAAGTAGGGAGCACTTAGTGAGGATCGAACTCATTACGCAGTCTTAAATGGTGAAGCAAAACAAGCTTGCTAATCCTTGCACGACGTTGAAGTGTCCTTTTTACTAAGCATAACTTAGATGAGTTTACAAGACTGAGGAGCACCCAGTGAAGATCGAACTCAATCGTAATTGATGTAGCGAAATATTCTCACTAACGATTATACATGGAAGTGCTCATTTTACTAAGCACAGCTAAAATATGACACAAGGGCGAAAGTAGGGAGCACCCAGTTGGGATCGAACTCACTACTCAGTCGTAATTAATCTAGCGAGACAAGCATGACAAAATGTATATAATAGGATGTTCATAAAGTAATTACCTTTTATTAGAAAAGATAAAAAACAAACAAATCAAATATAATTGAAATTCATTTAATTATTAGGTTGTTCGTAAAGTAATTATGGCTTAACAGGGAAGATACAAAATCACATTTATTGAAATATTATTAGGGTGTTCGGAAAGTAATTACGTTTTATAGGAAAGTATGTGAAGTAAAGTGTAAGTTAAATTTACTTAAATATTATTTTAAAAAAATGTAATCACTTTTATTTTCAAACGAATGAAACCCCACAGGGAGGCAAAACTTTGATTCCATTTTTAAAGAAATCTGAGTTTTTCGTTGTAAAAAGTTTGAAATGTTGTTTTTTTTAACAAAGGTTAAGGTAGAATCCTTTAGATATATCTAGACCTGCATGGTGGTAAATAAGATATACCTTATAAACGTTAACAAAACATTTATTTAATATACATATACCACCAATCCTTGATTATGACGGACAGTCGATGACGATGACGATGACAACCATTCAGGTAATCTGGTAATTAGACAAAAGAATATTTTTCTCTCCCGTACACCCACAAAAATTAAAATAGGAACACACTCACGTATATGTTTTTTTAATGTTAATGCCATTTATTCTAATGATGGAGACAAACGAAAACCCTATAAGTGCCAAATTTGGTGAGTATGGGGGATGTGGCAGAACCTATCATCGTAAACTTCTTATTTTTTTCTTGGATTTGATTTTGGGGTGTTAGACTAGAAAATAACACCTTTTCTGTTTTCAAAAGTAAGATCCTTTCGGCATAATTCTTCGTTTGTCCAATTATGTCGCTGGCAATAAATGTCTGCAGTGATTGAATTATACTTATTTTTTACAGTTTATCAACATTTTGTGGGTTATTTGAAGCCGTAATATATTTTGGATTGCAAGAATAATCTCTTTTTTGCAAGTGAATAGTACGTTAATAACCTTTTGAGTATAACAATGGTTTTTTCAAATACATCTTTTAATATTTAATCCATTACTGGGGAGGGGCATGGATTCATCTCATTCTCAAGGATATTCGTGCGTAAGTTAATTTAACGAAGTGAAGTACAATTCGAACGACTCTCCGACTTCTTATTCTGAACCGCCTAAAATGATGGTCGAAAGTGTTTGATAGGGTCTGGCATGCCGGCCTTCTTCGCAAGCTCCAGGGTTATGGTATTACAGGTCAATTGTTTGAGCTAATACAATCATTCCTATCAAACCGTAAATTGAAGGTCGTTCTCAACGGATTCTCTTCCACGAACGTATCCCACGAACGCGGGTGTTCCTCAAGACTCCATCCTAGGCCCCACTCTGTTCCTTATCTTCATCAACGACCTTCCTGACGCCATAGATTCCCAAGTTGGCATCTACGCGGACGACACTACAATTTACTCCTGCCTCAAAAACAAATCTAGTGTCGCTGACAAAACTAACCTGATCGTTCGTCTCGAAAAGGACCTCCAATCGGTTGTGAACTGGGGCAGTAATTGGCTGGTTAACTTTAACGCCTCCAAAACAAAACTGCTGTCTATTAGTCACCACAGAGATTCTTACCCCCCCATTAGAATGCTCAACTTCTCGAGAACACTTCTCTGCGGCTGCTCGGTCTCACGTTGACTACTGAACTGAGATGGAACAAATACATTGAGTCAACTGCTTCGGCCACCACAAGGAAAGTTGGCTCCCTGTGCCGCACCAGGAAATTCTTCTCCCCGGAATCGATCTTTCAAATCTACAAATCAACCATTCGCCCTTGCATGGAGTATTGCTTCCATATATGGTCTGGAGCCCCTTCTGTTTGCCTCGAGGTTCTTGATAAGACCCAGAGACAGATATGCAATGTAATTTGCCCTGATCTGGCTTCTCATCTGCAGTCGCTCTCTCACAGACGAGCCGTCGCCTCTCTCTGTCTTTTTTACAAATACTTTCATGGTAATTGCTCCGATGAGCTGCTTGCGCTGGTTCCCAGACTTCATGAATTCAAGCGCCATACGAGGCTGGCATCCGGCTCTCACCCCTTCAATGTTGAAACTGTTAAATGTAGCCGTCTCTTCAACTCGAATAGCTTCATATCACGCACCTCTCACCTGTGGAACTCCCTTCCCTATTCCCGTTTCTCTGACAGCTATAATCTCCTATACAAATGTAATGTCAATCGACATCTCCAGTTGCCTTGATCTATCCACTATCCTTTTCGTCATCCTTTCCTCTATCACTCCTATCTGCTCTCGATCCAAATCTTCTGTAACCCCTTGCGTACTAGTGGCTTCCCGCTTTGCTTGGGATGAATCGATTAAAAAAACTAAAAAAAAAACACCTTTCATATTCCACCAGACACAAGGCAAGGACTTTTGGAGATGGTGTCCTTGTTTTGGTATTATCACTGGTTCATCATTTTGTGATAACAGCTGTCTTTTTAGCTTTATGTTGTCATGCAAAACCAATTTTTCATCACCGAAAACAATTTTCGCAATTTACTTGAGATATCCTTGGACATTAGTGTATCGCATATGAAGGTTTGACACCAAATTTGTAGACCCAAATTCAGTATTTCAAAAGTACTTTATTCAGAGCGAGGCATGGCAGATATGTCGAAATTATCATTTTAAAGCATTTACGTTTCAGCTGTCCTCACCGCATCCTTTTACACAGGACAAATATTTTTTTTTAAAATGTCTCTGTAGCAGAACTATTTTTTTTCGGAATTCAGACAGTGAGCATTGATAATATGTTGCTTTTTAAAATTATGAGCCTTCATGGCGTTGAAATCTGAAAGGAACCATAAATGCCACCCCGTCCGTTAGAAGAGACAATAAACTAATTCAAGAGATGCATCTTCCTTATATTCAACTTCTGCCTTGGCTGATTGACTCATAATTCATAGCGTTGAAATACGTTATTACTTTCCTCACACTGTAATATTTATAAATACTTTCATCTTGTGTCGCCAAAAATTTGGTTTTAATATAAACGATTCTTTATAAAGAATGCAAACACATCATCTTATTCGGTTAAATGTAAGCGATGTAAAATCTTCAATCTTGTCATTATGTTACTTGTTTTCAAAGAGATTTTTTTTTTATTTTACTTATTTCTTGTGTCTATTCTTTTTGCGTTACTTGTTCGTTCATCCAATTTATGTTTTATTAATGCTATTTTTACGTTTCACATTTTTGGCTGCTGTTGTTGTTGTTATTGTTGTTTTTGTTAAAGTCCAACATTGATTTTTGCCTCTTTTCTAAAGGCCTCACTGTCAGATTTGCTTCAAAGATGGGGGGAAGCAGGCATAAGGCTGGCTGTAAAGAGAGGGGGTGAGAGAAAGAATTTTGTTTGTTCTTTTTGCTAAATGCTTTCACAAAAAGAAAAGGTTAGAATAAAAAAAAGAAAAATATATAATGTAAAAATATGTAGAAAAGAAAGATAAACGCGAGAAAAGAAAAGAAACAATCGGCAAAGTAAAGAAATGGAAAGAGAATAAAAGAAAAGAAAATCAAAGAGAAAGAAGTTTAGGGAAAAAAGGAGAATTTGAAAAGAAAACAGAAAGAAAACAAAACGATTTGGAGTAAAACTCTAGGGGTTATACTACTACTTCTACTACTACTACTACTACTACTACTACTAATAATAATAATAAAAATAATAACAAAAATAATAATAAAAATAATAGGAAGAAGAATAAAAAGAGATCACAGCAAAAATAAAGAGAAGAGAAAGAGAAACAAAGTGAAGCATAAGAAAATGATAAAACAAAATAAAATAAAAAAAGGAAGGAATAACGAGAAAGCAAGATACAAATATATTTAGGGAAGTAAAATGCCAAACAAATGGTAATGGTTCGGGAAAGAAAAGAACGAGAAAATATTTAAATAAAGAACTACTAAGAAAGAGTTGTAGAATTGAGACTGAAAGACTTCCCGAAGAGGGACGAATAAAATATACAAACTAAGGAATGGACAAAAGGAAAGAATGAAGGTGAGTTCGATAAAAAAAGACGAACAGGAAAAGATGTCAAGCTGAAGAATAAATATAGAAACTGATAAAGAAAAAGTAATGTATAGATGTAAAAGAGAAGAGAGACAAGAAAAAAAAATGGAAGAATGTGAAAGAATTACAACAGATAGGTAATGAGTTACAGAGACAATGAATAAGGGAGAAAGAGGTGGAAAGAGTGAATAAAGATGAGAAAAACAGGTCAAATGGCAGTTAAAAGAGAGGGAGAATAGAGAAACAGATAAGAAAAGTGAGTAATAGATAGAGATGAAAATTGAGGAAAAAGATAAAGAGATGGAAAAGGGAATTAAAGTGATTGAGAGAGAGAGAGAGAGAGAGAGAATGTGTTAGAAAGAGATTTATCTATTAATTCCACTTTAATGCCGCTCATATAGAGAGGACTGATAGAAAAAGACAGGAAGAGTAAAAGATAACAGAATTAAGATAAGCAGAAAGAATAGTGAAGAGAAAGAGAGACAAATATGAAAATCAATGGAAAGAAAAAGACATTAAGGTAGAAAGTGATAGGAAAGAAAAAGTGAAACGTATTAAGATAGAAAAAAGCTCGAGAGAAAAGACAAATAAAATTAAGAAATAAATTAGAAAGCGCAAAAGTGAGTTAGAAAGTGATAAGAATAGAAAATAGGGAGACATATTAAAATAGAAAGAAATGGAAAGAAAAAAGGGAGATAAGAATTTAGATAAATTGAAACTGAAAAGAGAGAGGAGTGAAGAATTCTTGATTTCTGGGAATTTACGACAGTGGACATGGCAAGAGAGCAAGAGATAGAAAAAAAAAGAATCGTTGATTCTCTCTTGGTGAAGGTTACGCAAGTAAAAGGCAGATGGAAGTAGAAACAGTTGTTTTGGTAGGAGAAAGAAAAAGAAACCATTTGAGTTAAAGATAATAACAAACAAAAGAAAATAAACCCGTGAATTTTGCCAAATTGATTGCCGTGTTTGAAAATTATTTTCTGTTCAACTCGTTGATTTAAACTGTTTCTTCTGTCTCTGATTTTTTTTTTTTCGCAGACGAGATAGGCAAAGATTTCTTTTTATTGTTTGTGTCGACATTCGCGTTCAGGTGAGTTGATAAAATGAAATATTGAAGGCGGTCATCTATAGAGTGTGCTGTCATCAACCACATAATCACTGACTGTAACCAGCTGACCCAAAATGCAGGAACGACAAGATGGCGACAATAATATACTGGAAGTTGTACAGGCAACTGTGATTCGGTCATGTACTGGAACCAAAATAAAATAAATTACAAAATGACTGGAATTTAAAAACTCAGACGACCACTCCATTCAATCAAGAAGATCATATTTGATAATTATGATTGAAAGAAAATGATCCCAGAGCAACTAAGGAATGTATATTTGAACAATTAGAGAAATACTAGGACCTTGCCGGTGAGGGGCTAGAGCTATGGAGTATGCAAGTTTGAATTCTAATAGTAGTTGCATTTATAACTCTGTCCAAGATCCTGGAATCAAGACCGAATGAGCTAGAAATCCCAAAAAGGGTTGAAACTATGCTGACCACATCGGAGAGGCTACTAAGGAAGTTACTGCCATTTAATTCTCAACAACGTCCATCAACATACAAATGGTTGAATAGATAATGATGAGAGGAAAACGAGGAAAATTTCGTTGAAATTAGAAACAAAAGAAGACAAAGTGTCGGCTTCTGCTACTACTACTACTACCACTACTACTACTGTTACTAATTATAATAATAATGGTAATGATAAAGTGAAAATTACAACCATCATTGCTGGAGCGCTTGTACAGAGCAGGATGAAAAGGATGGACGAAATGGAAATTCGACGAAGGATCGAACCATTCAGACAACAGGCTAATTAAGATAAACGACAGCGCAAGTGTGTGTTGGAATACCGAACTGTTTGTTGCCACTTGACCTACAGTTTAAGCCACCGGTTACAGCTGGTTTGAAAGTCCAACGAGTGAAGAATCAAAAAGGAGAAATACTGAAAGAAATCATATCAAGTTATAATGATGAATAAATACGCACAATTTTTCTTATGCGGTGGAAAATGAATCAAAAAAGAAAACGTGTGATGAGAAAAGATGCAAATGAAAAGAAAGGTAAAAATGAAAAAAAAAAGATCAAGAAAATAATGAAGATAAAGTAGAAAACCTTTTTTTTACTATCTGTTTTTAGAATGAAGAAAAACGTACGATGATAACAATAGTAAATAAAAAAAATGATGAAGAAAAGAGAGAATATAAAGTAGGAAAATGATATAGAAAGAAAAACGAATGAAAAAAATGTTTCAGTAAATGAAAACAGAAAAAAAATGATAAATATCAATAAGTGTAAACAAATAAAAAATGAAAAAGATCATAAAAAGAGAAAGAAAGGAGAAAAAAGACACAAGAAAAAAAAACGAATGAAGAGTAGATAAAAAACATAAATAAATAAATAAATAAAATGAAAAGTTTGACGCTGATAAAAAAATATCGATGTAAAAATAAGAGACGACAACTAGGTGGAGGATGTATAGGATGGATAGAAAGGATAAAGAAAACATAATAGAAAATAACAGGAAAAATAGTCATAAAAAATCACAAGAGGATATTAATGTAAAACCTGTGTCTACAGTCCTGTGACATTTAAAGATAATATAGAACAATTGAAAACAGTTTCTCTCTCTTTCTCTCTCTCTCTCTCTCTCTCACACCGACACACACACACACACATTTCGGTCTCCTGTATTCTCGAAGAGCCATGCGCCTAACGAGCCTATATAAAAATTTGCTTAGAGTAATCGGTATATATTAACATATATTTTGGCATGAAATATCATAAGAAAATGCAAAGTCTCGCATTGATATGCTTAAACTGTAAAATAAAATACTTATACAAAATATATACAAGATAAAAATTAAAACAGACACACACAGACGCACATATATATTCAACAGAAAAAATGTGTATATTTTCCAAAAATGTTGTACACGTGTGCCTTTAATATGAGTCATTTAATTTTAATTGTTCGGATGAGCTTTTCGCTTTTGTGCCTCGACTTTACGAATTTAAGCGCAGTACTATTTTGGCGGTAAGGTCTCATTATTATAAAGTTTTAATGGCTAGATGTAAACATAAGTTCTATGCTAATAGTTTACTTCCTCTCACTTACCGCTTGTGAAAATCTCTTCCAGCTTCTTATGCTCCAATCAACTTCGATCTTCAAATGCAATTTCAATCTTCTTAATTCCTGTTATTTCATTGTTTTTTCTCCTTAATAGTGTTTTTCTTTCCTCATTCTCTTTCACTCTCAGTAACCCCATTGCGTCTCAGTGACTTTATTGCCCTGCTTAGTGTTAAATGATTAAACATAAAAAAAAATAATAAGTTGAGTATACAGACGCTATTATTCAAGGACGATCAGGATATGGCCACAGAATCGGTTGCAGGTTCGAATCTTGTGCTGTATGTTAAAGTATTTTAGCATTGTGAAGCGGTGCGACACTGAGATCCGTAGACGTATTGGGATGGTCAAGGAAGTATTCCAAAATCTGAGCAGAGTATTACGAGAGAGGAGAATCTTTTTGGTAACAAAGAAAAGAATACCAAGTTGTTACGTGACATCTGTCCTTCTTTACGGCAGCGAATGTTGGACGATTTCCTCAAAGGTGAAAAAGAGACTCGAGGCGACAGAGATGTGGTTCTACAGAAGGAGGCTAAGGATATCATGGACCGAGCGTGTGAACAACGATGAGGTATTAGAGAGGATGCAAACAAGGAGACTTATACAACATAAGGAAGAGGCAGTTTCTGGGACACGTAATGAGGAAAGAGGGCCTGGAGAATTTGATACTCATGGGTCGAATAGAGGGAAAGAGAGACAAGGGAAAGCAACGCATGACATACCTAGAGTCCTTAAGCAAGTGGATGACAGAGCGTGGTCTGAGGAAGGAAACAGAGGGAAGGAACTGAGAGCTGCAAGGCATAGAGAGAGGTGGAGAGCCATGATCGCCTACGTCCTGAAAGGACATGACACATAAAAAGAAAAAGAAGCGGCTGGTTACTGTCTTTTTCGGCGATGCCACATGTAGACGCTCAGGAAATTGCAATTAGTACAAATAAGCGCTCACATAATGGGATTTAACATGATTGGGAAATTTCTCCGTCACCAACTCCTGCATCTCGTGGGCTGGATAGGAAAAGGCAGAGTTCTGATGGGACACAGGTCCACCTCAACAATCCAGGACTTGAACACTGTGTCTTCCATATACGAAGTGACCTTGTGGATTTGTGGTAAAGGCAGTCCGCGGATCTTATTGCTGTTTCTGTCACGTGAACTTTGTGTATATCAGCCAGGTACGCTGCGTTGAATACGTGCAGGGAAAAATGTCCCCCCGGCTTTTCGCCTGGTCATTTTCACATTGTAAACATGTTAATGTTCGCGAGATACCAAGCCATATAATATGTTACTCTCTTCTATTTTATGGTCCACTCTTGCGTAGTACATTTTACACACACGCACACACACGCACACACACACACACACACACACACACACATATATATATATATATATACTTTTTTCCTCACCGGTAACATAAATCTTCAGGTTCTGAGTTAAAAGTTACATAATTTAAATATTGATGCATATACTGGGCTATCGTAATAGTTGAGCAGTTTATATTACTTACGGGGTTAGTGTTGATATATATATATATATATATATATATATATATATATATATATATATAGCAAATATATGGATATAGATCCGACAGTATGAAGAAAATATACGGAAAAAAACAAACAAAAATCCTAATATGCAGTTATGCTGTTTTAATGTTAAAACAGCATAATTGCATATTAGGATTTTGTTTGTTTTTTTCCGTATATTTTTCTTCATATATATATATATATATATATATATATATATATATATGTATGTATGTGTGTGTGTGTGTGTATGTGACTGTCTGTGTGTGTGTGTGCGCGCGCTCAGGCACATTTGTATTTGTTTAACACCCGCAGAGCCCACCTGTGGATTATAATGCAAGTATGCTGAGCGGACCGTTGTTACAGTTTTTATTTTCTGACAACGTTCATCATCTGGGGCGACCCACAGTTTTAACAAGGCCATTAAACTCAACCGCTCGATCACCATCACTTCCTGCTAGTACAACTATCGATGATCAATTCTGTCTACCTCATTTTTCTCAGAAGACTTCGGTCGACACATGATATAGTTTTCAAGCACTTTCCAACGATGTCTCACGCAGGCCGATAACATCAAGAACTGACCTTTCTGACAAATCGACCACGCGTTTCATAGCCAGAAAGCGAAGTAGATCCCAAACAGATAGGCCTGTACAGAGATGATGGACTCATTTTAATCCCCAATAGTAATGGTCCACTAACCGCGAAGATCCAAAAGAAAATCATTAGGGCCTTTAAATTACACGGGTGTAGGATTGAGATTTCCTCTGACCTTAAAATAGATGGACATCACACTTAACCTCAATAATAAAACCTTTAAACCATACTATAAAAACAATGAAACTCCCACCTATATTAATGTTAATTCTAACCACCCCAATTCCATTTTGAAATAGATACCTACCACCGTCGGCACTAGGATTAGTCTATTATCATCCAACATAATCATCTTTAATAATAAGATATTGTATGAAAAAGCTCTCCCAAAAAGTGGTTTTCAAAATAAATTACCTTATCTATGAGTAGCACAGAAATATCTAAAGAGAAAATTTAGACACAGAAAAAGAAAAATTATATGGTTCAACCCTGCGCCCCTTCTGCAAACTATCAAATATTAATATAGGAAAGTATTTTCTAAAGTTAATAAATAAACATTTTCAAAAAATAACTCTCTAAGTAAGATCTT